ACATAATGAATTTCATTTTATTTGTTAGTCAATTACATTTTTTGTCACACTCTGCAACAAGATTCCCCTCGCGAAGAACGATCGGCGAATTCGCGGTTGTAATACGATATCTGGAAATTTGTCGAGAATTTCAAAACCGCGACGATGCGTTGGATATTAGCGGCGACTCGTTTGCAACTTGAGAACGCGCCGGTTTTCCTCTTTTGCTTCATTCGACCCTTCAACCCTTACCGGCGGCACAAGCGGCTCTCGCTTTTGCAGGACGAAGGGCGTATCCGAAAAAATAAAAGAGACATCGTGTAGACAGTGGGATCGTGGTCGTGGTCGACCCTCACGCGTGAATGCCAAGAGAAAGGGCACGCATCATGCGTGGGAACAAAGTGGACCACATTGTCGGTGGAAATTGCCCTTTGCAATCTTCAGCAGGCTACCCCCATTCGGTCGCCACCTATACGAACGTGGCGTTTTGTCTGGACGGAAGTTACACGCGGGAAGAAAGAGGACGAAGTCTCGCTTTGACTACCCTTAACTAGCGATGGGACCAAGTTTATACTACTTCGTAGGATAGCGAACTATTTGACCTTTGCAAACCGATGCAGTTCTTACTCACACGACTACGCATCACATAAGTCGATGCTCGAATATCTGCACGCGTAGCGATCGAATCTCTCAAGAGTATTCTCGGAATATAGAAATTATTGTAAACGACAGAAGAAAGGATTTTTTACAAGTTCTATCTTGCGATTGAGACTCTACTCGCCAGTAGTTTTTTTTTTTTTTTCGTTTCCCAAAGCACTCGTAGAGGGCTACGTTCGAATACGTAGCGTGCTTGTGGTATACTTGAGGCCATCGCTACCCTTAACTTACGACGATATACCCTCTGAGGGAGCAGACTGTTATCTGGAAAGGTCTCTTGTTCCAGCCTGAATCCAGAACTTTAGAGACGGATGAGACGCAATTCCGACAAAGCTGTATAACCTGAGTAATAGAACATGCGACCTGATGATTACATTGGATCCACGATTTTATTAATTAACGAAACGGTGTTTGACACTTTGTGCTTCTGGTTTTATTTACCTGTCGAAGGTCGAAGCCTAGAAAATTTATCTTTCTCTTTGGATTATTTGATTCAGAAAACTTGACGTGTCTTCAAGGTAAATCTTCACTGATGAAACGTTTCATCGCCACCACGAAATATCCATCGTTTGTATCTTCGATTAAATATCGAGATGTCGATTGCACTGGAACGGTGTGCTTTGAACTCTGTTCTTCTATTTTATTTAGAGGAGGTCTAAGAGTTTTCAATTTATTCGACTCGTAAAAAAATGTTAGAGAGCCTTGTTGGGTATCGAAAACTTTCGCGACGAAGGAAAGAGAAATTTCTGACCATTTGACTTAACGTGAATCGTCAAGGTGAATCTTCATCGAAACGTTTCATCCCCGTGTGTCGATGTGTTTCACGCGAAGCAGAATGCTACGCATATCGAGAGGATATTTATCGTTTCGAGTAGCATTTCCGAGCCGATGAAATATCGGAATACCACTTTTGTTCGAGGTTTCGATTCAAAGAAACGGAAAGGAAATGGATTCTCTTCTCACGTGAGCGACAAACGGCGGCCATGCTTGATGACTGAGCAGAGGCTCCTCTGCCCTGCCATAAACGCCCACCCCCGGAACGCTTTCATTTCCACGGTTTCAGATTACAACATGCAGCCAAAGTACTTTCTTCTTCGTTGCGATCGTTCATCCCGCGAACACACTGGAAATACTTGCTAACGTGCCTGGCAATACGATCTTCAGGGAAATGGCCCGCTCTTATCTTCTTTCGTGTACACACGCTGAGACTTTTCTGTTAGTTATATATAGTAGAGGATGGCAAAATATGCGGTGTCTTGTAAAAGTGCCTCGTTTTCTCTTTCACTCTCACTGTACAAAATCAGAGGTTGTTTTATTTCTGTTAACATTCTTTTTCTCTGTTTTATTTCTGTTAACATTCTTATTTCTGTTCTCATTATTTCTGTTAACACTAAACGTACCAAGCGGGGTCAAATGACCCCTTTTCAAAATTTACTTTAAAAAAAAAATGTATGTTTGAGTATTTTTATTAGAATTATATAATAATTAGAATTATATCTGTTTATTAGAAATCAGAAGTTATGTTGCAAATTATTTCCTTCAATAAATTCAGAATTTCTTTCTAAAAATCAACAAGTTTATTCATAAGGGATCAAATGACCCCTTTTCAAAATTTACTTTAAATAAGGTCAAACGACCCCTTTTCAAAATTTACTAAGTAAAAATATAT